ATCAAGTAAAAAACCGATCATAATCGGCATCGACGTCGGCTTGATGTTCTTTCCAATGCGGTCTGGACTAAACTTGTATGATTGAATATAAAGTGTATTGATTTTGTCTGTTTTTCTAAAGGAAGGAGGATTATTTTGTAGGTTTCAGGTTTGGTTGAAATTGTCCTAGTTGACCGACGTTCGCTTCATACCTAGGAGATCAGCGCCCTAGGGAATGAACAACATTCAGGTTTACTCGACGTTTAACCAAGCGTACCTATACTGCAGCGAACGAGTAAATGCCCTCTGTTGGCTTACCTTTGCAACTGCACGTAAAAACTTTCGCGTGTGGGTCAGTAACTCGGTAGGGATACACCCCTAAAGGCGGTGACAACCCCTTGGGGATGACAAGTTGTACCCCACGGAAACCTATCCTGTCGAAGGGAACCGTGGGAAGTACAGTTGGCGCACCCAGCTAGAGCGGCGAAGGGACGATGTGACCACGATCGTCAGCTGCAGTTCACAGTGTCGCGCACATCGGTCCAGCACCACACAGGGCAGCGTGAGACCCTCTCGGCCGCGTCACAGAGGAGTTGGTCTAAATCCTCGTCGCGAATATACATGGAGCTTCCGCAAGCCACTCAGGCCGAGTGTGCCAGCCATACCTCTCGCGAACCCCTACGACAGGATAGGGCCTACACGAAGCACGACTTACCTCCACCTTACGGGAGTTGTCACCTCCCTTCGATGGGCATATTCCCGCCGAGCTAACAGTCTACAATACAAAGGCTGATAAGTTGCAATCGCAGAGGTGGACCAGCTGAGGGCGTTTCTCGTTCGCTGTAGCATAGGGGGTACACGGGGTATTACGCCTCTATCGGACCCGCACGCGAACCGACATCTTGGGGGGTTGAAATCCCAAGCGCGGCCCGTCGTCGGTCGACTAGGACGCATCCTGCACACCACCCATACACCACTCTACGAACATAAAATCAAAATACGCACGCATACACACACATATACAAAACGACAGTGGACAAACAACGCGACAACACTCCTAGTCCCTTAGTGTGATGACGTCATATGTAGTACCCATACTCATGAGGTCCTCGTTAATCTCGAGGGTCGCATTCGACACTCAAGTGTCGGCTGACACGCGCCTTGATGGTTTGATCTCTCGACGCTGAACAACCGCCAAGTGAGGTTGAGAACCACACCCTCTTCTGCACCCTGCGGAGAGTGGGTGGTACACAGGTTCATACCTGTGGTGACAATCGTTTCTTATGGCCCTGGAGACCAGCTCCTTCACCCAGGGCCTGGGGAGATGGTCAAGGGGTTTCACTTTGACGGCTGCCACAAACTACAACGTCCAACTATAGAAATTCTAAAAAGCAAGAGATAAAAAAAAGATTCTCTTTTTCTTTCAACACACAATCTGTTTAAACCTTACGTGTGGTCCCAGTAGACCGCGCGAAACACTCAAGACATATTTATTTACATATATATAGAGAGGGTTATGCTTATGTGATGATTACTTCTCGCAATCACAGTGGGACTCCTCTCAACCATATATATGTGTATATGATCGCAGACAGTCAATCCAAAGTCCGAATCACCCAAACATACCTGCAATCACATCAAAGAGGCAACAAAAAGTCCATGCAATACACGGGGTCAACTTCAACCAATCTTTATACTCATACGCCTCGCTTTAGCCATGCAAGCCCCAACCTTTGTCCAACCAACCTTAATTAAATACCTAGTACCTTTGTTAAATGACCATTCAATAAAAGTCCAGGTGAAAACCTTAATAAAATAATAAAATCATCAGGGCTAAAACCTTTTAGATTGAGCATTGAGGGTGAATTGGAGTTGAATCGTAAGCCGACGAATCGGCAACCGACCTGTTATCAGTGATAACAGAAGATGATCCTTGTAGGATCAAGCTGAATATAGTCCAAATCTTGAATCGAAACGATCAAGAGGACCTGTAACACAAGACAGACCATTCCCCAAGTTGGAACTATAAGTCCATGGAGAATAATCTTCACACCAAGACCTCACCAAGATTCGTTCTACTTACCTAAGCCCGAATCTACCTCTAAGCAAGTGCCCAAAGAAAGGTAAACCCACGACAGAATCTCCCCCATACAGGATGGATTGCCAACATCGCCACCTGTCAAAATATATTATAACTCATCTTAGACTGAGAAAATTTCGGCAGCTCCTCTCGTAGGAAAAAATGTTTTTCCATAATTTATACAAACTTAAATATGAAACCAAAATAATCTATAATTTAAGAAGGTTAAATTTTGTCTAACTTCTTGAATTAGTAAAAATTTGGGCAGCATTTCCTTTAGAAAGGGGGACTTCCCAAATTTATAGTAATTCGGATTCGAACTCAAAAGATAAACTTGAGTTCAACTAAGACAAAATTCAACTAACTCCTTAGTTTTGCAGAAATTTTGGCAGCACTGCATTTAAAAAGGTGCTATTCCAAAATTCATACAAAGCTAAGTTCAAACTTGAAAATAACTTTGACTCTTCAAAATCCAAATTTTGTCTGACTCCCTGATTTAGTAAAAATTTGGGCAGCATTCCCTTTAGAGAAGGAGACTTTCCAAATTTTTACTAAGTCATGTACAAAACTTAGATATGTTGAACTTTGAAAAATCAAAATTTGACCAACTCCTTGGATTTGTAGAAATTTCGGCAGCGCTTCCCGAAGAGAAAGTAACTTGCCAAAATTTATACAAAGCCAAGTATAAAAAATGATTTAAGAAAATGCGAAAATTGACCTAAGTAAAATAAAGTTAGCTCAGAAAATGCAGAAATTTGAACTAACTCCTATTGCTCTAGCACGTGGCGAGTTTCTAAAGCAACTACCTGTCAAACTAAAACTCCGACTAAGTAGTGATCTCACTCAGCCACATGCAAGCCAAGCCATAAAGGTAAGTACTCTCACCAACCCAAGTCACCTTTGGTAAACAATATTTCATAGTCTTTCAATGATTTATCCTTTTATACCCAGCTTACATAGGGCATTGAGTTAGGTCATTCATCTTAGAAACAATGCCAACTCTTTGCCTTAGTTATACACGAACATGTTGCACAACTACTTCTCTCTTCATTGGGCATATGACTAAGTCATTCATCTTAGAAACAATGCTTAGTCGCACTGATCTGTTTAAATATCCAAGTTATATATCTCTCCCTGAGTTTTGATGTTCAAAAGTGGGCGTAGGACTGAGCCATTCATCTTAGAACCAATGCTCAGTCGGCCCAAGTTACCTTCAAGTAGAGGTCTTAGTTATACTTTCTTAATTTGTGATAAGGCTATAGTTAGACCATTCGTCGTAGAAACAATGTCTGACTAACTTTGTTCTTATAGACATAGAGATATATAAATATAGAAAGTCATATTCCCTTGTTCATATTAAAATCCTGTGGCCTCAGACTTAGACCATTCGTCTTAGAAACAATGCCCAGACTTTGACCTGAACCTCTCTCAAAATAAAACAACCAAAATAGTTGAGTCATTCGTCTTAGAAACAATGCTTAACCCTCTTTTCTCCGCACCAAACAAAAACAGAGTACCCTGGGTCAACAACCAGAGACTGTTTAGAAACCACCCAACATAAACAGCGCCTAGACCATTCATCTTAAAAACAATGTTTGGTCCTCAAGATTTGCACAATCAATACCCCGTAGAAACAACAACCAGACCATTCATCTTAGAAACAATGCCTGGTTAAATTAAATAAACATAGCAACCAAGCCATTCATATTAAAAACAATGCTTGGTTCTTCAGAAAACAGAACAAAACACAACAGTCGGACCATTTATCTTAGAAATAATGCCTGATGCTATAAGACCTGTTCAAGCACAAACAAAACTGCCTTCCTCTCAACCTTCCCCCTTATGCAACCCTTTTTCTCACAATCTGCTTTCAAACAATCAACAAAATTGAAACCGAGATTGCGCATGCATTCCTTTACTTAGTCTGGGTTATGTCATGAAAGTCAAACCGAAGTCAAAGGTAGGGGCATACGGTATACTCAGTCAAACATAGCAAGACGTACAAGTACGGGTTATAACTGGGTTAATAAAGAGGAAGCAATGATTACCTCTGAGTTCCTTGCCTCTAGAACTCCTCCTGAGTTCCGGATGAGCTCCCGCAATTGGTGGGCTAACTCCCCACAGAGTCTTAACGCGGACCTACGGGTTGCAATCCCGCCTGCCGTCTTCCTCTCGTAACCAACAAACTAGACTGGGAGTTAGAAGGGCAGAAGGAAGAAAGTTTAAGACTCTCGGATACAAGAGGGGTGCTCTCAAACTCGCGGGAGAGGACCTTTGAATCTTTAGCACCTGAGGGCCCCGCAATGGCGACCGAAACGTAGTAGCTTGGTCAAACCGATGCCAAACTGTCGATACAACCCCTCCTGATGACCTTCGAGTTCGCGACACTATCTCCTTTTGTAACCCGATCGCTCCCCCTACAACACACCTTCACTCCCCGCGGTCCAACTGCAGTCACCCGACACCGAACAACTGTACGCAAGGCAGCGCAGTAGACCGTGGTAGTCTCAGCAACCGCTGCTGTAGGACTGCAGTCGAGGCAAAAATTGTCGAGCCCACAGCAAAAGGGCAACACAGAAGGCTGCTACTTCGCAGCCTGCTTCCCTTTCCTATTTGGTGACACTGGCAGTGCGGCTTGGCTGACCACACTGCAAGCGGGGTAGGCAACGATTGTTTGGCCGAACAACTCCTACCAAGCTTTAACTGATCGCCATCCCGCTGCCAGACCCGCACTCTAGCTGCCCCAGCCCAATGATTCGGCTGGAACACGCTCAAACTGACATGGTGGCACGAACGAGGTGAGTATGTGAGCGAATTCTGTGATGAGAATGGGTCCTACTTAGGTAAACCCAGGGGAAGTAGGAAGTAGAGAGAGAGGTGTCTGTCAGGTCCAGAGCGTTGGGTGCTTAGAGGGTCGGTCCTATAGGATCGTGAAGGGATGGACTGCTGAGTGGAACCTTTCGTCCTATCGCTTCTTATAACAGGGGGATAAGAGGCGAAGGCAGTTAATCAAAATGTCTGAGGAAATGGCGGATGGCGGGAGGAAGCTTGTAACACTCGACGACCTCATCGATGCCCTGGATAAGCGCGAGAGAGCACTGAGCAATGTCCCGAAGGTTGATACTTTCCACTTCAAGAGGGAACGGGTGTCCGACTGGCTGGACCTGACGGAGCAAGCACTGGTGGGGTTGTCGGACGAGATTAAGCTCCAACGAGTCCTAAGATATGTCCTTCATAGCCACCATCAGGAAGTGGGCAAGGTCGTGGATGCCGCCAATGGTAGTTGGGCGAGGTTCAGGGACATGATGCAGAGAAAGTACAGGTTGGGGGATGGCTTGCTAACCATGGCGGATTTGGAGGCCATGAACAAGGATGATTTCTCCACGATTGGGGCGTTTATGCATGAGTTTAAAAGGAAGGCGCGGAAGGTGCACGGGATCTCCGAAGAAACGCAGTGTGCCATATTCTTGGGTCTGCTTACTGGCTCGGAGGCCTCGGAGCTGACGGGTCACGGAGGGGGAAGTGAGAAACTCACTTGGGCCACTATCGACAAAGGGGTGGAAGAGGGGAGCCTGGACCAGGTGGAGCAGCACCAGGTGCGACTGCAAAGGCGCAAGAGAAAGGAAAGAGACGCCACCGCGTCCGGGACCCCAAGGGTGAAGAGGATCGTCACGGACGTATTGGCAGCGCTGGGGTATGATAATGAGGCGGAAGTGCAAAAGAGGGGAGTGACCGTGGCCCAAGGCCGGGCGTCRGGGGCAGTGGAAGAGGAGGCTAGGCGCGAGGACTATGGCGGAGAAGAGACGGGCTCCCAGATCCTAACCAAGGCCCAGAGGAAGCAGCGGAATTTACAAGTGGGGGGTCAAGGATCCGGAAAAGGGCAGGTCCCGCAAGCAATTGCTGCGCCGCCGCCTGCTGCCACGACAATGTCAGCGACGGCCGGGCCGTCATGTATGGGGCCGCCGCCGGCTTGTGGGCATTGGGTGTCGCATTGTCAGCCTACGTCCTGGCCAGTTGTAATCACTGCGCCTCGTGCGGGGGTAGTCAGACTCAACCCGGGCAAATGATCCCTTATGCGGGCCCAGCGGCAAGTATGGGGCCCCCGAGCTACCCTGCGGCTCAGGGTCAATTTGTGGCCCAACCACTCTATCCCAACAGGCCTCGCAGGTTAGCGTGGCCGGTGGAGGAAACCAAGGACAAGGCGGACAAGGCAATGGAGGCCGAGGTCAAGGGGGTCGAGGGGGTGGAGGCCGAGGCCGGGGAGGAAATGGTGGGGGTCGTGGGGGTGGTTGGAATGGTTAAAGGGGCCAGAACCAAGGTGGTCGGGGCGGCCAGGAAGGGGGCCAAGGGTATGGAAGGCCCCGCTTTGATTGGCGAAATGCCACCTGTTGGCATTGTGGCGATGTAGGCCACACTGTGCGGTTCTGTGAGCGGTGGCGGGAGGATGAGTTGTCAGGGTTAATCTCCTCCTGTATGGACGGGGATATATATGACAAGTGGGGTGAGCATATCGACCCCAGGACCCCGGAAGGAATCAGGCAAGAGGCTCTCCGGCGAGCAGCAGCGGGACCCACAGCACCCCCGGCAATGTTTAGGATATGGCAGGAGAAGGAAGGGCCGACTGTAAGAGTCGAGGAGATTGTAGGGGATAGTGAGGGGGTCACTCAACGACTAAAGGCGGGGACTTTAAGGGAGGAGCCAATAGTCGTCGAATCGGATGACGAGGGGCAAGAAGGTGAAGGAGAGCCGGCCATAATCCTCCTGGGGAGGATGGAAGATCTGCTGGAAAAGGTGGGAAGGTACCAGCGGAAGTTGCAGGCCTTGTGTGAAGAAGCCCGAGAGTGGGAGGCCAATCTGCCTGAGGTCTTCCTCTACGACTCCGGACCTGAGCCTTCGCCAGGACAACAGGGGTACCCAAGGATGACGACCGTAGGGACGGGCCCTAGGTCAGGTATGGCCTATAGACCCCCTACGTCGCATGGGAGGGTGCCACAGGCGTCTCGGACTAGAAGTTAAAATAAGGCCGGGCCTAGCCAAGAGCCCAGTCAGGCACCCAAGCAGGCACCCAGTCAGGCACCTCCTCGAGGGGAGCTTGAGCCAGGGCGCAGGAAGGAGGTGGTCGAAGTCCCGGAGGAAGAGGAAGAGGATGACGATAAGGAGGATGAGAGGCTCCGACAAGAGGAGGATCAACGAGCGGAGATGAGGGCCAAAAAGAGGCCGAGCCAAGCCTGCCTGACAGCGTGCCTAAGAGGAAGAAGTACGCGGTCCGAATGGAGGAAGGCTTTGACGTGGAGCGGATGGTGACAAACTCCTGGAAGGCCATAATGACTTGATAAACCTAAAGGACATCCTGGCGTCGGCGCCAAGGCTCTGTGGTGAGTTGAAGGGACGACTGTCGTGAAGGCTGGTGCCAAATGTCCATCTGAGTACGGTCCTGCCCAGAGAGGTGGAATGGACTGAGGCAGGGACAAGGATGGATTGGAAATGTGTGGTGTGCGGGCAGGTGGATTTGGTGATAAGGAACCAGAAGTGCACTGGGATGGTGGACACGGGCGCAAAAATGAATATCATTAGGGAGAAGGAGGCGGTGATGATAGGCATGGAGAGTGACTGCTCGGACCATGGCATGCTACATGGCGCTAACTGCAAGGCCGCCTTTTGCGGCACAGCGTCAAATGTGATTATAGAGATTGGGAAGGTGCGAGCCAGAACTTGCTTTTTCGTTATGCCCGATGTCGATCACCCCATCCTCCTGGGGAGGTCGTTCTTGTGTCGGACGAAAATGTTGATCTTCAACAAGCACAACGGAACAATGGTCCTGCTCCTGTGCGACCCGACGTGTGGGAATTATGAAGTTATCGCCTGCCGGAACACGGGGCCGGGGAGCGGGAGGAATAGGCCTAATCTAGGCTCGTTCACCTGTGAGGAATCAGAGAACGAGCGGAGACGGCTTTGGGAAGTGCCCGAGGAGGAAGATAGGACTGAGGTGCTGACATTGAGCCTCACAGATGTGAATAAGGCCATGGAGGTGATATCAACTCACGACATGGCGGATCCGGAGGCCATTAAGGCTTTGAGGGAACAGGTTTTGGAGAACCCTCAGGTGGGGGAGGTGGAGTTGGTGTATTGGTTTTCGGGAGGGAGGGGAGGCCCTGCGATGGCCCAGGCCCGAACGACAAGTCGGCCTTTTTTAGGGGAGGGCTTAAGCAGGGTTCCCAAAGGCGGTACACGACCATAGATAAGAAGTGCCGCCCAGTTCCCGTGCTCGTCACAGAAGATGAGGAAGCCTACTACGAGCGGGAGCGAGGGTTGATACGGCGTATGCGGGAGCACGCGTTGGCCGGGCCGTGCCGTATCAATGATGAGAATGAGGGAAAGCTGATAATCGGAGAGCCCGACTTCCTGTCGCCCCAGGAAAGAGTGTTGATGGTGGGGCTGATGAAGAAAAAGCACCGCGCGTATGCATTCAACGACGACGAGCGTGGGAGGCTGGATGTGGACAAGGTCTCGATGATCAGGATCCACACGGTCCCACACGAGCCATGGAATCTAAGGGGCGCGTGGTACCCCAATCCGGATGAGGAAAAGATGGTGGTGGACTACCTGGACGGCAAGATGCGGACGCACGTGGCCGACTATTCCAATGGGCCGTACGCGTCGCCTTGGTTTTGTTTTATTAAACCGAATGAGACGCTAAGGTAGGTGCAGGACTTGCAGCGGCTAAATGCGGTGCCAGTGCGCGACGCGGGAGGATTGCCGAATGCGGACGCATTGTCAGAATCGTGCGCAGGGAGGCCTATAATCTCGCTTATAGACCTCTACTCGGGGTATGACCAATTCTCCGTATACCCGCCAGACATGCCCGTAACGACAATGCACACTCCCAGAGGGTTGATTCATATGAACGTGGCGCCCCAAGGTTGGACGAATGCAGTGGCGATCGTGCAAAGGCATATGATCAGAGTCATGCAGACGGTCAACCCGCACATCACTCAGCCCTATATTGATGACCTGGCGGTCAAGGGTCCGAAGGAAAAGGAGGAAGACGAAGTGATGCCCGGTGTGCGGCACTTTGTCTGGAAGCATGTCCAAGACATTGATCAGGTTCTGGGGTTATTGGAGGAACATAACCTGACGGCGAGCGGCCCCAAGTCGAAGCATTGTATGAGGGAGGCCACGATTCTAGGCTTTGTCTGTAATGAGAGTGGGCGAAGGCCTGATGTAAAGAAGACAGACAAGATCCTTGAGTGACCGGTGCCCTTCCGCTCGATAACGGATGTGAGGAGCTTCCTTGAGACGTGCGGATTTTGGAGGAGCTTCGTGAAGGACTTTGCCACGAAGACGGAGCATTTAAGGAAGTTGGTGCGCCAGGATCAAGAATGGGTCTGGG